GACTTTTTTATCCAGGGCGTTAAGTTCAGCCTGAGTCAACCTGAGTATGCCAAAGGTATACATGAGGACAGGCATGACCCAGCCGTTATATGCGTGTGCCTTATTCACACCGGACAAAAGGCTGTTAAGCACTTTGGTCAAACGTGCATAAAACACGTCGCAAACTGACTGTTTCATACCAGTCTCATCGATACCGATGTTTTGTGACATACCCAGGTATCGGTATGTTTCAGCATCGGAAAGGGTTCTTAAGTTGACGGGCATAGATAAGTCTATGCCCTCAGAGTTAGCAACCCTTCCCCTTTCAACATGGAGGACCGCAAACTTATCCGTCCCCAGCTCCATTCCAATGGAATTGCTAAATTCACAAGTGATGTTTAGCAATTCCATAAGATGGGAGCGACTGGAGGCGAATAATTTGAGGCCATCCATATAGAAAAGGTGGGTCACTTTTGTACCTCCTTTCCGAAGCTGAAATCCCCTTCCGGAACCCTCCAGTAAAGTACTGAGAGGGTTCAAAGAGAGGCAGAACCAGATTGGACTCAGACAGTCGCCCTGGAATATACCCCTTCTTATCCTTATGCGGCTTTCCGCAGCCGTCATCCGCTCGCCTAGATGACAGAGGATCGTACTCCACTGCCCCATACACTGCCCGAGGAAGTCTTGAACTGTACAGTCAATCTTGTACAGCTCGAGGACCCTCTTTAGCCATGTATGGGGCACCGAGTCTAATACCTTTCTGTAATCTATCCAGGCGGCGGAGAAGTTCCGACGGTAGCGTTTCACCACTTTGCCAATGACCGCGTCAATGAGGAGTGGTTCCTTGGTTCCACGACCGCCGCCCCGATATCCATTTTGAGCGCGCGACATCACCTGATTTGAGTCCAGGTGACGAGCGATTCTCGTGCTCAAAGTGGATGTTAGTGTCTTGTATATAGTCGGTAGACACGTGATGGGGCGGTATTTGCTCGGGTCTGTGGCACCCTGATCCTTAGGAACCAAATGAGTGATCCCAGTAGTGAAGAGGCTTGGGAGCGACTTCTGGTTGAGAGCCTCTTGAAACTGTCGGGCGAGCACAGCGTGACACACCGTGAACCCCTTCAGCCAGTAGTGATGCAGCCCGTCAAGCCCCGGACTTTTCCAGTTCGGGCCCTACGGACCGTTTCAGCTACGTCATCCGGCGTTATGATGACGGGTTCCATGGGCGTAATACCCGCACACTGACTCGTCACAACTTCCGTCCAAAGGCCCTCGTTATGGTTTACGGGCTCTGACCACAGGCTGCGCCGGAATGCGACCGTGTCGGCCTGATTTGGTGCTGGGCCCGCTCCACTTTCTGTTGGTCGCTCCAATGATTTATAGAGCCTCTTCTGATCACTCTGGAAGAGACGATTCTGGTTGAACCATGTTGAACTCTCGGTATATCGCCGAATCTGCTTTCCCCAAGCAGCGATTCTTTGCTTCAGGTCGTCTATGCGCTCCGTCAGTTTTTGCATTATATCCGTTTGGGACAAACTAACATTTGTCCCAGCAAACGCCATCCTGACGGTGCGCACAATCCTTGGCCTGGTATTGCCTGACCTGAAGCATATCAGTCTGCCGATAAGGGCCCTAGCCTTTGCGATACGTTCTTCAATTCTTATTCTCCAGGCTGGGATAGCACTACTTTGTCCAGTAGCGCGTCCAGCCGTGGAAAGTTTGGCGCCTATAATACGGCAGACTGCCAGTGCGGCGCCAAAAAGAATTGAGTCCGTCTCGCAAAGGTCCTGGCTGGCTTCCAAATAGGTAACCAGCATTGGGTTCAGAGCCCTCCATGACAGCCCGATTCCGCTTGCTTAGGGCTAAGCGGGGAAGTCGCGGTCGATTTTCGAGAGGCGTACTGCGCGTTTCCACAATCGCCTCTTCCAATGTTCTCCTCATTTGCTCTAGTTCCAGTTCCTGGGCGACTGTTCCATCATCGTCTGAATCAACCTGAAATTATTATTATTGTTTTGGGGTATCTATATAGTTTTCTCGTCTGGTTGGGTGCTATAAATATATAATTATAAATGAAAATGAAAAGATAAATATACATAAATATCAATAACATAAAATAAATATAAAAGTACACAAATAAATAAAAGCCCAACCAGATGGAGGCCCTCGGCAGGGGAGACCAAACGGCCGAGGGTTAGGGGGAAAGGGAAAGAAACCGGCGGACGATGCGGGCGGTATCGAGGAGCACCGCCTTCTGCATTTGAACCTGGAGCGGTCCGCCACGTAGTCCCAGTCGCCTCAGATGACCCGAGAGGCTGACTGGGATTAGCCCGTTTGCAGAAACGACTACAGGAATAATTTCGGTCGGCAGACCACCCCACATGTCGGTCACCTCGTGAGCCAGGTCCAGATATTTTGTTTGCTTGTCTGTTTCGGCTTTCACGAGGTTCTCGTCATACGGAATGGTAATGTCGACCAAAAATATCCTTGACTGTGCCCGGTCCATCAGCACAATATCAGGCTTATTCGCAAGAATAGTCCTGTCTGTGATGATGGCCCGGTCCCAATAGAGCCTGGCGCGATCATTTTCGAGCACGGCTTCCGGCAAGTACTTGTAATACGGCAATTTCCGATCCACGAGACCGTATTTCAGAGCGAGCTCCTGGTGTAGAATTCTGGCTACTAGGTTGTGCCTGTGCAAGTACTCAGAGTTAGAAAGCGCCGAACAACCGGAGATAACATGCCTAAGTGACTCATCGGGATGGCGACAAGCTCGACAGATGTCGACGGTGCCATCCTTTAGGATGTATCTCCGATAGTTGTTGGTCTTAATAACCTGATCCTGTATTGCACAGACAAAACCCTCGGTTTCCCCGAAGAGATCACCAAAGCGTAGCCAGTGGAGGGAGGCTACTGTGTCTACGAAAGGCTCATGTAGAGCCTTGTAGAACCTCCCGTGGAGCTCCTTCTCCTTCCATACGGTCTCCCGGTCGGAAATGCTCTGCACTGCCGGGTCTTGCCATTGCTCGTTGGCTAAGGATAGAGGGGTAAGTCCTTTATCACGAGAAATGACGTCCTTATAGAATGGATCATCCGATCTCGCCAGGAAGTAATGACGGAGGCTGCACACTTTGCGATTATGCATGGTGAGCGCGCTTAGAAAGCCACGCCCACCATGCTTTCGCGGCAAGTACAGCCTCATTACCGACGATCTCGGATGATGCATCCTATGGAACATCATGGTAGTGCGGACTTTTTTATCCAGGGCGTTAAGTTCAGTCTGAGTCCACCTGAGTATGTCAAAGGTATACATGAGGACAGGCATGATCCAACCGTTATATGCGCGTGTCTTATTCACACCGGACAAAAGGCTGTTAAGCACTTTGGTCAAGCGTGCATAAAACAAGTCGCAAACTGACTGTTTCAAACCAGCCTCATCGATACCGATGTTCTGTAACATACCGATACCCAGGTATCGGTATGTTTCTTAAGTTGACGGACATAGATAAGTCTATGCCCTCAGAGTTAGCAACCCTTGCCCTTTCAACATGGAGGACCGCACACTTATCTGTCCACAGCTCCATCCCAATGGAATTACTAAATTCACAAGTGATGTTTAGCAATTCCATAAGATGGGAGCGACTGGAGGCGAATAACTTGAAGTCATCCATATAGAAAAGGTGGGTCACTTTTGTTCCCTCCCTTCCGTAGCTGAAATCCTCTCCCGGAGCCCTCCAGTAACGTACTGAGAGGGTTCAGAGAGAGGCAGAACCAAATTAGACTCAGACTATCGCCCTGAAAGATACCCTGAAAGATAGTGGTTCTATGCAGCCATCATCCGCTCGCCCAGATGACAAAGGATCGTACTCCACTGTCCCATAAACTGCTCGAGGAAGTCTCTCACTGTACAGTCTATCTTGTACAGCTCGAGGACTCCCTTTAGCCATGTATGGGGCACCGAGTCGAATGCCTTTATGTAGTCTATCCAGGCGGCGGAGAAGTTCCAACGGTTGCGTTTCACCACTTTGCCAATGACCGCGTCAATGAGGAGTGGTTCCTTGGTTCCACGACCACCTCACCGACATCCGTTTTGAGCGCGAGACATCACCTGATTTGAGTCCAGGTGACGAGTGATTATCGCACTCAAAATGGATGTTAGTGTTTTGTATATGGTCGGTAGACACGTGATGGGACGGTATTTGCTCGGGTCTGTGGTACCCTGGTCTTTAGGAACCAAATGGGTGATCCCAGTAGTGAAAAGGCTAGGGAGCGACTTCTGGTTGAGAGCCTCTTGAAACTGTCGGGCGAGCACAGTGTGACACACCACGAACCCCTTCAGCCAGTAGTGATGCAGCCCGTCGAGTCCCGGACTTTTCCAGTTCGGGGCCCTACGGACCGTCTCGACGGGGTCCATGGGCGTTATACTCGCACACTGACTCGCCACAACTTCTGTCCAGGGGCCCTCGCTGCGGTTTACGGGCTCTGACCACAGGCCGCGCCAGAATGCTACAGTGTCGGCCTGATTCGGTGCTGGGCCCGTTCCACTTACCAAACTGACATTTGTCCCAGCCGGATATAACGCAAAAGCTGACGGAGCGCATAGATGATTTGAAGCAGAGAATTGCTGCTTGGGGAAAGCGGATTCGGCGATATACCGAGAGGTCGACACGGTTCAACCAGAATCGTCTCATCCAGAGTGATCAGAAGAGGCTCTATGAATCATTGGAGCGACCAATGGTAAGTGGAACGGGCCCAGCACCGAATCAGGCGGACACTGTAGTATTCTGGCGCGGCCTGTGGTCAGAGCCCACGCCAGCAAACGCCATCATGACGGTGCGCACAATTCTTGGCCTGTTATTGCCTGATCTGAAAATCAGTCTGCCGATGAGAGCTCTAGCCTTTGCGATACGTTCCTCAATTCTTCTTCTCCGTGCTGGGACAGCGCTACTTTAGCCAGTAGCACGTCCAGCCGTGGAAACCTTGGCGCCTATAGCGTCTTGGTACGACAGACTGCCATCGCGACGTCAAAAAGAATTGAGTCCGTCTCGCAAAGGTCCCGGCTGGCTTCCAAATAGGTCACCAGCATTGGGTTCAGAGCCCTCATGACAGCCCGATTCCGCTTGCTTAGGGCTATGCGAGGAAGTCGCGGTCGATTTTCGAGAGGCGTACTGCGCGTTTCCACAATCGCCTCTTCCAATGTACTCCTCATTTGCTCTATTTCTTGTTCCTGGGTGAATGTTCCATCATCATTTGAATCAGAGCTTCTGCTGGGGTATTCACGGTGGCATCCACGTGTGCGGGTTGTTCTGCAACTTATGGCACCGCATCCTCAGTCGTAGCATTTTCATTTGATGAGGGAACAGCCTCACGTCGTAGCCGTTCGAGTTCGGCGCCATCAAATATATTTGAGCGTAAGATATACCGAACTCGGTCTGCCAGGTTTTGCTCGGTGACGGTAATAGATGGCTCCAGCTCAGTAAAAAGACGATGCACCTTAGCCCGATACGCAAATCCTCCAACTTCTCCCCCTTTCGCCCTAAAATACGCCCGCAATGCGTATGTATTCACATTGATGGTCCATCGCATGCGGCGTACTCCACCAGTGGCGGGTGCCGATTGCTGGGCCTGCGAAAACCCTGCCGACACCAAGCAAGCTGGTGGTGATGATGGATGCGAGGGTCAGCTGGGTGGTCGTGCAGCACCTCATGCTCGGCGGGCGGTTCACATGCTGTCGCGTCCGGCGTCAGCTCCAGACGCGCCCTGGCAACCTCCAGGCAGTGGCCCTTTGCGCAATCTTCTGTGTTCTATCATCCATAGTGGGCGTCATTTAACAGGAGACGCCCAGACCCGGCGCCGTTTTATGGTGAGGCCATATGCACAAGCGGGCCCTTGCACCTTCAATTTTTGCCGAGGCACGGCGCTCACACCTCTTGGCAAGGTGCTGACTGACTGCGCGGACGTAGCAGTTTTGTCACATAACCGTCACGTCAGCGGGCGATGGGGTCGTCACTTCCCTACGCCTTATGATGTTGATTATGATTTTTTTGGGGTATCTATATAGTTTTCTCATCTGGTTGGGTGCTATAAATATATAATTATAAATGAAAATGAAAAGACAAATATACATAAATATCAATAACATAAAATAAATATAAAAGTACATAAATAAATAAAAGCCCAACCAGATGGAGGCCCTCGGCAGGGGAGACCAAACGGCCGAGGGTTAGGGGGAAAGGGAAAGAAACCGGCGGACGATGCGGGCGGTATCGAGGAGCACCGCCTTCTGCATTTGAACCTGGAGCGGTCCGCCACGTAGTCCCAGCCGCCTCAGATGACCCGAGAGGCTGACTGGGATTAGCCCGTTTGCAGAGACGACTACAGGAATAATTTCGGTCGGCAGACCACCCCACATGTCGGTCACCTCGTGAGCCAGGTCCAGATATTTTGTTTGCTTGTCTGTTTCGGCTTTCACGAGGTTCTCGTCATACGGAATGGTAATGTCGACCAAAATATCCTTGACTGTGCCCGGTCCATCAGCACAATATCAGGCTTATTCGCAAGAATAGTCCTGTCTGTGATGATGGCCCGGTCCCAATAGAGCCTGGCGCGATCATTTTCGAGCACGGCTTCCGGCAAGTACTTGTAATACGGCAATTTCCGATCCACGAGACCGTATTTCAGAGCGAGCTCCTGGTGTAGAATTCTGGCTACTAGGTTGTGCCTGTGCAAGTACTCAGAGTTAGAAAGCGCCGAACAACCGGAGATAACATGCCTAAGTGACTCACCGGGATGGCGACAAGCTCGACAGATGTCGACGGTGCCATCCTTTAGGATGTATCTCCGATAGTTGTTGGTCTTAATAACCTGATCCTGTATTGCACAGACAAAACCCTCGGTTTCCCCGAAGAGATCACCAAAGCGTAGCCAGTGGAGAGAGGCTACTGTGTCTACGAAAGGCTCATGTAGAGCCTTGTAGAACCTCCCGTGGAGCTCCTTCTCCTTCCATACGGTCTCCCGGTCGGAAATGCTCTGCACTGCCGGGTCTTGCCATTGCTCGTTGGCTAAGGATAGAGGGGTAAGTCCTTTATCACAAGAAATGACGTCCTTATAGAATGGATCATCCGATCTCGCCAGGAAGTAATCACGGAGGCTGCACACTTCGCGATTATGCATGGTGAGCGCGCTCAAGAAGCCACGACCACCATGCTTCCGCGGCAAGTACAGCCTCATTACCGACGATCTCGGATGATGCATCCTATGGGACGTCATTGTAGTGCGGACTTTTCTATCCAGGGCGTTAAGTTCAGTCTGAGTCCACCTGAGTATGCCAAAGGTATACATGAGGACAGGCATGACCCAGCCGTTATATGCGTGTGCCTTATTCACACCGGACAAAAGGCTGTTAAGCACTTTGGTCAAGCGTGCATAAAACACGTCGCAAACTGACTGTTTCATACCAGTCTCATCGATACCGATGTTTTGTGACATACCCAGGTATCGGTATGTTTCAGCCTCGGAAAGGGTCCTTAAGTTGACGGGCATAGATAAGTCTACGCCCTCAGAGTTAGCAACCCGTCCCCTTTCAACATGGAGGACCGCACACTTATCCGTTCCCAGCTCCATTCCAATAGAATTGCTAAATTCACAAGTGATGTTTAACAATTCCATAAGATGGGAGCGACTGGAGGCGAATAACTTGAGGTCATCCATATAGAAAAGGTGGGTCACTTTTGTCCCTCCTTTCCGTAGCTGAAATCCCCTCCCGGAGCCCTCCAGTAAGGTACTGAGAGGGTTCAGAGAGAGGCAGAACCAGATTGGACTCAGACAATCGCCCTGGAAGATACCCCTTCTTATCCTTATGTGGTTCTCCGCAGCCATCATCCGCTCGCCTAGATGACAAAGGATCGTACTCCACTGCCCCATACACTGCTCGAGGAAGTCTCTAACTGTACAGTCTATCTTGTACAGCTCGAGGACTCTCTTTAGCCATGTATGGGGCACCGAGTCGAATGCCTTTCTGTAGTCTATCCAGGCGGCGGAGAAGTTCCGACGGTTGCGTTTCACCACTTTGCCAATGACCGCGTCAATGAGGAGTGGTTCCTTGGTTCCACGACCACCGCCCCGACATCCATTTTGAGCGCGCGACATCACCTGATTTGAGTCCAGGTGACAAGTGATTCTCGCGCTCAAAATGGATGTTAGTGTCTTGTATATGGTCGGTAGACACGTGATGGGGCGGTATTTGCTCGGGTCTGTGGTACCCTGGTCTTTAGGAACTAAATGAGTGATCCCAGTAGTGAAGAGGCTTGGGAGCGACTTCTGGTTGAGAGCCTCTTGAAACTGTCGGGCGAGCACAGAGTGACACACCATGAACCCCTTCAGCCAGTAGTGATGCAGCCCGTCAAGCCCCGGACTTTTCCAGTTCGGGGCCCTACGAACCGCCTCAGCTACGTCATCCGGCGTTATGATGACGGGGTCCATGGGCGTAATACCCGCACACTGACTCGCCACAATTTCCGTCCAAGGGCCCTCGCTGTGGTTTACGGGCTCTGACCACAGGCCGCGCCAGAATGCTACAGTGTCGGCCTGACCCGGTGCTGGACCCGTTCCACTTACCATTGGTCGCTCCAATGATTCATAGAGCCTCTTCTGATCACTCTGGAAGAGACGATTCTGGTTGAACCGTGTCGACCTCTCGGTATATCGCCGAATCCGCTTTCCCCAAGCAGCGATTCTCTGCTTCAGATCATCTATGCGCTCCGTCAGTTTTTGCGTTATATCCGGCTGGGACAAACTGACATTTGTCCCAGCAAACGCCATCCTGACGGTGCGCACAATTCTTGGCCTGTTGTTGCCTGATCTGAAGCATATCAGTCTGCCGATGAGAGCTCTAGCCTTTGCGATACGTTCCTCAATTCTTCTTCTCCATGCTGGGATAGCGCTACTATGGCCAGTAGCGCGTCCAGCCGTGGAAACCTTGGCGCCTATGATACGGCAGACTGCCAGCGCGGCGCCAAAAAGAATTGAGTCCGTCTCGCAAAGTCCCGGCTGGCTTCCAAATAGGTAACCAGCATTGGGTTCAGAGCCCTCACGACAGCCCGATTCCGCTTGCTTAGGGCTATGCGGGGAAGTCGCGGTCGATTTTCGAGAGGCGTACTGCGCGTTTCCACAATCGCCTCTTCCAATATACTCCTCATATGCTCTAATTCCAGTTCCTGGGCGACTGTTCCATCATCGTTTGAATCAACCACAACTGGGGTATTCACGGCGGCATCCACGTTTGCGGGTTGCTCTACCATTTGTGGCGCCGCATCCTCAGCCGTAGCATTCTCATCCGACGAGGGAACAGCCTCGCGTCGTAGCCGTTCGAGTTCGGCGACATCAAATATATTTGAGCGCAAGATATACCGAACTCGGTCTGCCAGGTTTTGCTCTGTGACGATTAAAGATGGCTCCAGCTCAGCAAAAAGACGATGCATCCTAGCCCGATACGCCAAACATCCAGTTTCTTCCCCTTTTGCCCTAAAGTACGCCCGCAGTGCGTTTGCATTCATTTCTTGTGACCAACGCATGCGACGTGCTCCACCAGCGGCGGGTGCCGCTTGCTGAGTCCGAGAAGACCCAGCCGACACCAAGCCTTCTGGTGGGGATGATGGATGCGGAGGGCTGGTAGATGACCGTGCAGCTCCTCGCGCTCGGCTGGCGGCCCGCATGCTGCCGCGTCCAGCGCCAGCTCCAGACGCGCCCCGGCGACCCCCAGGCAGCGGCCCTTTGCGCACTATCTTTTTATCCATCATCCATTATTTGGGCGTCCATTAACGGGAGACGCCCAGGCCCGGCACCGTTTCGTGTGTAGCCATAAGCACAAACGGGCCTCTGCACCCTAAATTCTGCCGCGGCACGGCGCTCACACCTCTCGCAAGGCGCTGACTGACTGCGTGGACGTAGCAGTTTTGTCACTTAACCGTCACGTCAGCGGGCGATGGGGTCGTCAATTCCCTACGCCTTATGATGTTGATTATGATTATTATTATTATTATTATATATGATTTGTAAAGATCACCAGCCTTTCTCAATAGTCGAGAATGAGATGAAGTTTCAAAAATCTTATGAAAGCAGTTGCTCCTCAATATAATACCAAGTAGAAAAAGTCTAAGAAGATGGTTGGATAATAAATATGAGGTTGTTTCAGAAACTTTTAAAAAGAAATTGTCTTCGATAAAAGACTTAACCATGACGACAGATATTTGGTCTGATACATTAAATATGAAAAGTTTTATAGGCGTAACTGTTCATTTTGGAATAGAAATTGGACAGTTACTCTCGGCGTGTATGAACTCGATGAAAGACATACCTACGTCACAATATATTTCTGAAATGCTTTTAAAAACTTGTGCAGAATGGAGTATTAAAAAAGATAATGCGACAGCTGTTGTAACCTAGAATGCTGCCAATATGGTGAAAGTTGTAGAATTGACGTTTGGTAAGAAGAAACATATTCCATGTTTGGCTCATGCGTATTCTCTGTCAATTTGGTGGCTAAGAGCACAATGGCATGTTCTGAGTGGCAAAAAATTGTTACTAAAATTAAAGCAATTCTGACCTGGTTCCAACAAAGTTGCGTTGCTAGTGACGAATTGCGCAAAGCTACTTCTACTGAGACTAAACTTATACAAAGCGTATCGACGCGCTGGAATAGTACTGCTGTACTGGTAATCATAAATGATATTCTTTTTCGACACGCCACCGCAGCCCCAATGCTCAGCAGTTCAGAAATATCCATTGCCTCATCCGTCCTCCTGATATTGCGGCCTTTGGAGGAAGCCACAAAAGAAATTTCTGCAGATAAATATTGCACAATCAGCAAAATTATACCTTTAGTCCCCGCTGCATATTTTCCAAAATTACTTCAGCAGGTGTCGCAGGAGAACCTGTGGCACGAAAAGTGCAAAAACTGGCTCTGCAAAAAATTACGAAAAGAATGGGTTCCATTGAACATGTAACTCCTCTTGCTATAGCATAAATTTTAGACCCACGTTTAAAAAAAATCACTTTAACGAAGCAATAACTTGTAGCAACGCCGTATCGAAAATCAAAGATTTAATGAAGATTCATTTGCGTCAAATTGAAGAAATCGAGTCAGACTCGGATAAGTCTGATAAAAGTGAAGAGACATTTTCATTATGGAGTGATCATTACAAACTGGTACATCGCAATTGGAAGAGTAGTAAATATGAAGATAGCTTGTCGGATGAACTTTCAGTTTATCTGACAAGTCCTGCTGGAAGACTTAACGACAATCTTCTAGAAATTTGGAAAGATTACAAAATACAGTTTCCAATATTGCATGAAATTGCCTTTAAATATCTAATAATGGTGGGCACATCAGTGCCATCAGAGAGACTGTTTTCGCAAGCGGCGCAGGCAATGACTCAACAGAGGATTAGATATATATATATATATATATATATATATATATATATATATATATAGGGTAAAAGATTGGGTAAAATTTTGTTTTTACAAAGTATAGATAAAAATTATTGGGATATATATTAAAAATAAATGTAAAAGTAATAAAGTTATTTTAAAAGATGCTTGCTTTTTATTTCTTGACCACATACATATTTAACTTATAGAAAAACAATCGATGTATAGAAAACATCGATGTATTTTTTGATACATCGATATTACATCTATGCAACAATCCGATGCATTCAATCGAAAAAAAAACATCGATGTTTTCCTAATGTCCATCACTATACAGTGTTGCCAACATTAAAATCTAGCTACCGTTGTAGAGAACACTATAATCCCGTCAAAACCCGTCTAATAGACATTTTCGAGTTTTCATTCCCCCTAAATATTAAGAATGAATTGATTTGATATCGATTCTTGACGCACATGGTTTATTTTTCAGAATTCAATCTATCAAAGTATATAGACCCGTCAAATCTAGCGGGAAACCCGTCAAGTTGGCTACACTGACGATGAATAGGTAACCTTGTGAAAATAATCGATTTTTATATTCAATCGATTATTTATATAAAATCGATTATGAGTTACTCGTTTTTATTTTAAAAAAATCGATTTTACTCTAACAGTTTTTGATTTTTTTACAGCAGTAAGTTAATGCTTGCAACATTCCTAATTTATAATTATTGTAATAATTTTGTACAAATATTATGAAAAGCAATAAATATTAGAGCAAGTTTACCACGCATGGTAACACTGCTACTACTAGACTGGGATGGATTCCCCGTCTTATACCCCTCTCCTGTCACTTGGTCAATTTTATTGCTGTAGATGCGCGAGCGGTTTGGTTTAAGTCAATTAGTAATTTGGTTATATAAAGTGCGTTTACGTATCCGCATAAGTACTATTTTGTTCCGTAAATTTACGTTGCCAGTTGAAATAAGTCTAGCACGAAACCAAAAAGTTGTTGGCGGCAGTATTTCGGGATTAAGCCTGGTGGAATTGCTAAGTGCAAATACTGCCCAAAGGAGTTGTAAACTTGCAGTAACACTACTAATTTGAAGCAGAACATGGAAAGGAAACATTCTGCAATAATCATAGCTGATGATCAGGTACCTATTTGTCAATAAAGACTACATCATTGCAAATGCCGCGAGGTAGGCAATTGCCTTTTCCGCCGAGGTATTCAAGTGCTTTCCTCAAAAAATGCAAAGAAATAAAAATAATTATTAATAAACTACCTATTAGGAAACTTCGAATTTCGTTATTTATCTAGGTAGGTACTTTCTTTATCGCCAAATAAACTTTTTTATTTTGACGTTTGTACCGAAAGGCAAACGCATCTAAGGCTATAAAGCCAAATTAATTGATTAAAGAGATCTAAATTCAAATGCCGCCACAGCATTCTTCATTATTTTTTTGACATTTAGTGATGGGACAATACTCGTATGTTATGAATCGATAATATCCGAATTACAATGAGTTAAAATTTTTAGATATTTTTTTATGTACAGAATGATGACCTTATAACGTCTTTTTTGAGGAGGTGATTTTGCTTATGATGTTATAACATCTTTTTCTAAAAAATAAAGGTGAAAATTTGAACAATTTTTTAACCATCCTTAGTATGAAAGTGGTTTCAGATAAATGTCATTAAATTTTTTATGACTGCGATTGTTTATTGTTATTTTTTATTTATAGGACCAGCATGATTCTGAGTAATTTGTGTACATTTTCTACTGCCAATTTCTTCAGGTTCTTACTTTATATAAAAAAAATCTTTTAACATATTGCTACAACTGTGTGGACATAATATGAGGATAAAATATGATACAGGGCTAGTTTTTAAAGAGTAACCACTACGCTAGTACGCTTTTTAATCTAGTGTTTTGTTTTGTAAATGTATGGTTAAATGTATATATATATATATATATATATATATATATATATATATATATATATATGTGTGTGTGTGTGCGCGCGTAGTGCGTGCGTGCGTGCGTGTGTGTGTTTGTGTGATTTGTATGACTTCATGTTACTTATAATTGAAATTATTTCATTTTTTGTAGGAGCTTTACTGCCGTGAAAAATAGCAATAACTTTTTTTGTTATAGCTGTTAAGTGTACGACTGATGGCAGAATTTTGAGCATATTTAGAGCGGCTTAACGGAACATGAAAAAGGGATGTGTGTCTGGTACGCTTCGAAGGAGTATTAAATTGTAGGAATTGAAATCTCAATTCAGGACTATCTATTTATTATTACAGACGTCGTGTAGAAACAATAGCTGTAGAAGTTTACGTCGGTCCTTTAACTGCAATAAGTTATGGTGATAGCAAGATTCCTCATAACTGCTTTTTTTACGTTGAGTACGATAATTATACAAATACAATGTAAATATATTAAGGCTTTACTTTAATATATTTACATTGTAAAAGTTAAAGTAAAGTTACAGCCTATATACGTCCCACTGCTGGACACAGGCCTCACTCATTTCTGAGAGTGTTTTAGGGCAAGGAAGTGTCCGCCGCGCTGCCCTAATGCGTGTTGGCGAACTTCACATATTTTCGAAATATTTTTTTTATTCCTCAGACATGCAGGTTTCCTCACAATGTTTTCCTTCACCGCCGAGTACGTGGTAAATCAGCACTTAAAATTGCAATTAACAATTTCATTGGTGCCGGCGGGGATCAAACCCAGGTTACTCGCGTTCTGTTATACTTACAGCGAGCGTTAACCATCTGAACTACCACGGCTGTATATTTACACTGTATTTGCACTATATTCTCTATAAAAGACAAGTAATTTGGATTCCAAACATTACAGCAATACTCCAAAACACTTCTTGCATAAGAATAATACAGAACTTTAATGCAATCGGAATCTGAGAATGGACGGCATGATCTTAAAACAAATCCTAAGTTTTTATACGCTTTTGCAACTATTGTCGTAATATGATCAGACATGAGCATTTTAGAATCAAAAATAACACCAAGGTTTTTGGTTTTGTAGACGCGTTCCAAAGCTATGTCATCTAATTTAATATCGATATTCAATTTGATACCTTTTACGGGTGAAGCTTATTTGATAACTTTTTTTAATATTAACACTAATACGGTTATTATAATAGAGCAACAAAGCTGGTTCAAGTCTTTCTGAAGTTTGTGTGTATCTTCCTCATACTTAATATATGCGTAAATTTTAGTGTCATCATATACATACAGTAACGGACCCAATAGAAATACTAACCGAATCGCTCTGGCCTCGGGTAGGCACTGTTTTTGATTGGACTCCCCACCCATCCCACTATGCCACCCATTCAACGGCACGGTACACTTAACACCTTAGATTAGGTTAGGGTAGGAAAAAGGGGGTCGGATAAAAGAAAATAAAAAGAGGATCACCTGAGTATTTCTGTTCTGTCTGTTTCCTAATGAAACAGACGAAATAACAAGCGGCAGCGACGTGAAGGAAGAAGTTCTTAGACTTACCCTGGTGATCAACACGACTTGCGCTCTCCCTCAGAGCCATTCTCCGAACTCCTCGCCGGAAAGGAGAGCAGAATAGACGTAAATCTAAACACACTAATAATGTCAAAATGTGAGAATTATGAGTAGATTAACCCCCAATCGGCTTATGCACTTATATTTACTTGGATAAATAAACATTTATTTTGTAGGTATGGAGAGACTAGAAGCGAGTCCTGCAGTAAAGCAGCAAAGTTAACAAAAGAAATGATACAGACCGGCAACCTAAGCGCCACTATTAATCCTTTGACTGAGGAAGAATTGTGTCGCTCATAGGTGTTTAGTACACATTTGGCAGCGACTGCCCTGACTAGACCAGACCAGACCAGAGGAAGAAGTAAGTTCAGTAGTGTGTACACTCATAATAATTACTTATACACAAATTGATATACCTAATTAAACTTCATTATTTTTTAGTTTGAAAGAAATTTACAATATTAAATACTTTGACTAATAATTACAGATGTTACAACATGAGATGGATGCTGGGGTAACAATAGAAGTAATTTACTTATCTTAATGTAAGTTTTTGTAATATATTTAAAATATAATGTAAAATATGTTGCATTTTAAATGTGCTTACCTACATTATATTAAAAACACAAATTTTAATTACAGGTAATGAATATAAAACTGAAAATCACAATTATTACAAGAGTACACTTGTGTAGCGACGTGAGCTTTTTTAAGAAGTGACAAAATGTAAAGTTTTTGAGATGTTTTAAATTCGCAAATATCAACTTGTGTCCGAACTGCAGTGGTGTCTGAGTTCTTTTGCGTTTTATGACTGTATGACATGTGTTTGGCGAGAATCTCTTTTGTTGATTTTTTTTTGTTACAACCATCACATTCAAAAAAGTAATTTATTTTGTTTCAAAATTTTCATTTTCATAATCGGGATTACAAAGTTATTTATGAAGTTAGTGTATCTAGAAAACTGGTCCGAAATTGAAAAATATTTAGTTTTTCCTTGATTTGTACACTAAACACTAATTGTGTTCT